TCTGGAGGACCCTTAACCCATCTTCCCCATCTCTCAGAGTGCCCCCTCCAGCCACACCTGATGCATCTCCCCTCACCATGCAGAGACTGCCCCTTCCTCCCCACTGCCCAGCACCTCTGCACCCAGGCAGCCCCTCCCACAGTGCTAACTCCACCCCTCACAGGTGTGAACAGGCACTTCCACATGATCTGCATCCGAGACAAGTTCAGCCAGAACATTGGGCGACAGGTCCCATCCAAGGTCATCTGGGACCATCTGAGCACCATGTATGACATGCAAGCGCTGGTGAGCTCTGACCCCTGACCTTCCATCCCAAACTGAGCACAGGCGCCACACCCCACCCTCCCCAAGCTGCTGGGCTGTTGAGGGGCCACCCAGCTTTGAACGAACTCCCCTGGATGGCAGCCCCTGATGGGAGTGAGCGAGGAGTGCCAGCTATGGCCACATGACCAGGGCCCTTGTGCCACTGCCAGCTGGGGGCCATGGTGGGAGCCAGGATATCGGGCCTCTGGACTCCTACTCTGGGAAAGGTGGGAAAGTGCCAAGCCTTGACCCTGGTGCTAGCTGTAGTCTGTGTAACACCATCCCTATCTCTGGAGAGTTCCTGACACCATGGCCGTTTGGGGGGTAGGGGATGGGCAGGAACAGTGGTCAGGCTCAATTCAGGATCGGTGTTACATGAAGCCAGGCCCTGGGTATCCAGTCTGCAGAAGCCACCAAGTGTCCTCAGCCCCTCCTCCTCCTCACTTTATCCAGTGATGGCTCATAACAGCACCATTGGGGGCCTGTTCCCAAGGTGGGTGCTGAGGCTGGCATTTTCAGAGCACACAGATTTTGATGGGCATGTGTAAGGCAGGCTCCTGGTGGAATGAAGCCCACCCCCCTTGTCATCTGGAGCCCTCCCACTAGCTTGGCACTCCACCTCGGGGATAGCAGGAGTCTTGGTAATGTAATAAAGCCAATGGTACCCTTCGCTGCTGCCAGCCCCGCCCTGTCCTGTGACCTTGGGCACTCAACACTTGGAGGTTTCAGGGAGCAATTCTGTGAGCCTGCCATGCAGCACCTCGGGAGTGCATCAGTGGGCAGGCAGGTCCCTCTCAGTTCCTGACCCAGAGCGGTGCCCCTGCTCCATCCCCAGCTCCCCCAGAGCTCTGGTGCAGGCATTCCTTGCTTGCCCCTGAGTTGGCTTTAGACACACCTCTTCTTTGTTTCTCTCCAACCCTGCCTGGCACCAGCATGAGTCTGAGATTCTCCCCTTTCCGAATCCGGAGAGGAACTTTGTCCTTCCAGAGGAAATCATCCAAGAGGTCCGGGAAGGTGAGCCCCGGGCAGGGGAGGTTGGCTGTAGACGGGGACTATAGTGGTGGGTGCTGTGGGGCCTTGCCCGAACCTGGACTTGAGCAGTCTGAGGACCTCTAGGGTAGGAGAGAGGGTTTTGCCTTCAGAGATTGCCTAACAGAAGCTGTGTGCCTCCTGCACCATGAGTGGTCTTGCCCTGGCTCACAGGCCCCCAGCAGGCCTGCCCTCCACCTTGGCATATCAGTCAGTGTCCATGGTCTCCCCACAGGCAAGGTCATCATCGAGGAGGAAATGAAAGAGGAAATGAAGGAAGACATGGATCCCCACAATGGGCCTGACGATAGTGAGTCTGTCCCCTACCGCAGAGTGGGCAGGCACAGGACACCTGGAGGCGCTGCTCTGGGATAGGGGTGGCTCCTCAGGACAGTCTGCCACAGATGTCCCTGGTGGCTGAGGCCCAGGGGCAGGGGGTGGGGAGAGACAGGGCGCACTGTCTGTGGTGACACGGTTCCAGCCAGATGGTTTTGTGTGGCAGTGTTTGTGTCATCAGGAAGCCTGGGGAAAGCCACGGAAAAGTCCAGCAAAGAAAAGGAGAAGAACTCCTCCGACTTAGGGTCCAAAGAAGGGGCGGACAAGCGGAAGCGCAGCCGGGTCACCGACAAGGTTCTGACTGCAAACAGTAACCCATCGAGCCCCAGCGCTGCCAAACGGCGCCGGACATAGAGACCCTGTGTCTGCAGCCGCAGAGAGGTGGCTGGTGGCTGGCGGGGGAGGGGGCACTTAGCAGGATCAGCGCACTCAGCCAGTACTCTATGCCTCAGTGCTGGCGTCATGTTCTCTGGCCAGCCGGGCAAGTGGACATTTTGTCTCAGATCTGGAGAGCTGAGTGGACTCTCCTTGCAGACTTTTCTTCCTTTAACACCACTGAGTTCCTGTGAGGTGCCACCCCAGAGGACCCACCTGGAGAACTGGTGTGGTTGGCAAGCAATAACAATGCCCAGCCATGTCTCCTCAGGAATAGCAGTGGTCTGTCTTCCCGGGAAGGATGCTGCCTCAGGGAATGACGGTCGGAGGAGAACTTTGCCTCTGTCACTTGTACTGTAATGTATATAATTCAGTTGGTGTTTTCACTATTTAATTCTTAAGACTATTTTACTATTGTTTTTATGAAAAAAAATGTAGCAGTTAAACCTATGTTGTATTTTTCAGAAAATGTTTAGTGAAGGTGATGAGACGAAAGTACTTTCTGTCTGTTTTTAGATGCCACAAATGGAGAATTTTGTAGTGGTTATTTTTGTATTACCATTTAATTTGCAAATAGGCCAAGTGGGTGAGTAGGACAAGCTGCAGCCACAGCCTGGGGCCAAGGTGACCCAGGGCTGTGGGAATGTACTTCCCTTTGCTGACATTAAAGCACACAAAAAATTAAGCCGGAGTCCTGTGAGTTTGATACCAAAATCAATTCATTTTCCCCCCGCCCCAGGAAGTTTTCCTTTTTCATATAACTGGAACTAAAGGGCACTAATAATCCTTTGATGCAGTGTATTTGCAAAATAACAACAGGTTAAGAGGTCACTTTGTTGTCTAACAAGCACTTCAAATACAAGGACCACACACACACACACACAAAAATGCAATACATTTGTACCTGTGACTTAACTACACTGAATGTACCCATTAAGAGACAGTAGCAGAATAAATAAGGAAATAGGACCCATGGATATGCTTTCTATAGAGACACACCAAGACTCAAGGACAAAAATAAACGGAAAAATCAAAGGTTGGAAAAGTGCCAGATTATAGCAGTCAAAATAGAAGAGTGGCAGTATTCATTCCTGATAAAATGGGCTTTAAGGCAAAAAGCATAAGAGACAGCAAACGGCATTATGTAATGATCCACGTGTCAGCTGAACAAAAACACCTAATACCCATGCGCCCAGTAATTGAGCCTCAAAATGTGTAAAGGAGGACAACTGAAAGGGCCCGGTGATGCAGTGGTCTGCAAGTTGGGTTGGTAACTACTGTGGGTCAGCAGTTCAAACCACTAGTGACTCGCAGGAGGAAGATGAAGCTGTCTGCTTTCCAGAAAGGGATACGGTAGGGAGCTTACACGGGCAGGTCTGTGGAGTCACTATGAGTCAGAATGGACTCTGACAGAACAACTAAATAGCTTTACAATAATAATAGACAATACACCACTTTTTATGAAGGGCAGAACTAAAATTCACTAAATGGCTAACTTGACCGCAGGTCTGTGTGTGTGTACACCCAGCAGTACATGAAGAAAGTCCCAGGGGCAACACTCCCTTCAGGCTGACCATTAAAGAAGCACTTCGATCATGCAAAGGTGAAGGACTCCTCCATCACCCGGGGTGCCCCACCCACCGCCAACGTTCTCCCAGGGCAGAGGGGCTCACCTGGTAGTAAAGCCCAGCACAGGACCGGTCAGGGAGTCTGTGCCGGAACCACCGAGCCTGCCATCAGGCCACTTCTGTGTCTTCTGGCCTAGATGGCACCTGTTTGCCCAGCAGAGCTGAGGCGGCACAGATGGAGACCCTGCACCAGGGCCAGGGTCACCCTTTGAGGGATCCCTGCAGCAGGGATGTGGGTGGCCTGCTGCAGGCACGCTGAGAGTGGGAGAGGCTGCCTTTGGTGTGCCATCCACAGGAACCTGGCGCGTGAACCAAAGCAGGGCAGAAAGGGGGAGTAGAGTTGGAGGAAGGCTAAAAGCCCAGGGCAGGGGCTGTGCCAGGCTCACTCCTGGGGGACTGCATTTCCAAAAGCCGCAGACCCATCTGTTGTCCACTAAGAGGACAGAGGCTTTGGCCTAGGGCCCTTAGGTGAACGAGGTCCTGTAGTGAACTGGAGACCTAGTCCCCCACCCACGTGCTCACAGTACCTACCAGCCCGTCCATCAGTGGCCCCAAGTAGACAGGGCAAGATGCCAATGGCCAGGTCTCCAAGGCCAGCTGCAGATGACTTAAGGCTGCTCAGGTCCCTGGCCATACATTGTCCAGGTGAAGTTCATAAAGTCGGACCGGCCCATGACACTGGACGCCGCGGGGCTGAGTCCTTGGGTTGCGTGCCTTCTGAGGAGAGGGCTGTCACTTGCAGCCTCTTTTCGGTCTGCAGAGGAGCCGCAGGGCGCGTTACCTGGCCTCAGCTTGAATTGGGAAGAAGGCATAAAGGACACGCCTTGCGGGGGGGGGGGGTGTCGCATTCTGTTGGGGATCCCGCGAGGTGTCTCCGACAGTATCTGGGACACTCTCCCGGGGAGATAGTTTCGGAGAGGCGGGATTCCACCCACCCGTCCGCCCGAAACCCCACCTGAGCGAGTTCTGCGCGAGCCCCGCCCCAGACCCCGCCCCACCAGAAGACCCGCCCACCGTGGCCCCGCCCCGCCAAAGCTCCGCCCCCGCGCTTCCTTCGCTTTCGCTTTCGCTTCCGCCCGCTGCCGGCATGGACGACCCGGATTGGGACTCGACTTGGGAAGAGGACGTGGAGGACGCGGAGGGGGACGCTGGGGGCCAGAAGGCAGTGGGCGACGCCGACGGGGACGCGCCGGGAGACGAGGAGGAGGAAGACGATGACGAGGATGAAGATGAGGAGCCGCCGCGGACATCGAGGCCCAGCGCCCTCCAGGTGCGGTCCGGGCCTGGGCTCCCACCCCGCCCGCACCACGGGACCCCCGCGCCCCCACTCCCTCACCCGGAGCCCTCCTCTCCCCCCTCTCCTGGACCATCCGGTCTCCGGGTCTTCCCCCGCCCTCCGGTCCCCGCAGCCCACCCGCCGCCCACCAGCCCCGAGTCATCCCCCGCTCCTCACGGTCCCCAAGTCCTCGCACCGCCCACGGTCCTCCTCCGCCCCACCAGCGCACCAGAGTCCTACGCTCCTGCGGCGCCCACTAGCCCACCCATATTCTCCGAGCCCACCTCCGCCCGAATTCTCCTGCTCCCAGAGTCCACCCACACAGGCCCCCGAGTCCTCCCCGCACCCTGTGTCCACCCTCCTCCCCTGGCTCCTGCTACCTTTGCTTGCGTCCCGCTCCTTCCTGCAGCCCCACTGTGATCTCTGCCCTGCTGTCCTGGCCTTGGGGATGCCCAGTGACATGATCGCTTCGCCCTGCAGGGGGAGCTGGCCTCCTTGCCTGGGGTTGGAGTTCAGGCGCTGGGTCCTGGGGTCTGGAACACTGCCTGGGTCTAGTTTGGAGCCTATGTTCTCCCGGTTTCCACCAGTGGGCCCCCTGTCCTAGGACCCTTTTAGTCCGGTGCCACCCACACTGCCCACGGTGGAAAACTAGGAATCCAGGGCCCCCAGTGTGTTTGTAGTGAGTAACACTGCCCCCCCTATGTGCAATCTTGTTAACTCTCTCCTACCTGGATCTTACTCCTGCATGCTGGCCACCTCCCCTGGCCTGCCCTGCACTTCCCCATCAGAGCTCTGCCTGAGCTCTGCTCCGGCCCTGCCCCCACCCCGCTCCTCTGCGCTTCTGCTGCCTACTGTCCAGCCCACTGTCCTGTTGGAAGGTAGACCCGGTTGTCCCGTTGGTGACTTGTCTGGGCACGGGGAGTCTGCCCCATGCTTCCTCTGCTGAGCAGATTCCCCCCATGCTTGACCAGGGACACTCCGTGTTGCCCCTGTTAGCCCAACTCTGCGGCAGTGTAAATCCCTTGGGTACGCTGGTGTGACCCCTTATAGCACTCTGTGAACCTCGCTCTGTACCTGGCCAGTGCCCTTGCTCTGGGCATGGTGGCAGGCCCCAAATGACCTTCATTGTCCCCACGTCATGTTTGGATGACAGGTGCCTGGACCTGCGCCCAAGGTATCTTGAATTCAGACATGGCCCTCATGGTGGCATTAATTTGCCCGGAGCGAGTGAGTGACTAGCCTCACTGGGTGGAGTGCGTGCTCAGTGAGGGTGACCAGAGCCGGGTACCCTGCCACCTGGAAAGCAGAGTTTCGTGGGAGAGGGGCCCAGGACTGGAATCCAGCTGGGCCCTGAGCTGATCCCCTTGACACTGTCTGGTCAGGACCCCAGAGGAGGAAATGGGCACCAGTGTCAGGCAGGGTGGCCAGCCCTTTGCTGAGTAGCACCAAAGCCACACCAGCCCACCCCGGGGTCCATGCTGAGTCGCCACTGTGGAGGGGTGGGGCCTGGGGGCATCACTGAGGCCTGACAGCCCACTGACCCAGAGGCCTGGGGTTCAACTGTGGCACTGGAGAAGCCACTGTGAGCTGCTGACTGCCCAGAGTGGGGGCTAGGGCAGTGACCATGGACACACCGGGGTCCCCTCCTGGGTTACCCCCAGGTATCAGCTGCCATCTCAGGACAGGTGAGGGACCCCTGACTCTGGGCCAGAGGAGGAGTAGCTATCAGCCTGACCGGGTCCCTGATGCTTATGGGGGTGGAGAAGAGAGCTTTCTCCAGTGCAGTGTCAGGCTGCTGCAGGGGATGGGGCAGTGGGACCTGGTGACGGTGGCTGGGGCACATGGTCCTCTGAACTGCTGCCATGGCGACCCTTCTGAGATGGTCATTCTTGAGGGGAGCAGAGAGGCTCACCCCTCTCCCACAGATTGGCTGGTGGGGGCAAGCTGCCAACCTTGTGCTTAGCTCACCTGGCCTAGTGGTGCGGTGGGTTAAGTTTTGAGCTGTGAGCCATTTCCTGGGAGAAAGATGAGGTCGTTTGCTTCCAGGACAATTTGCAGCCGAAGGAACTGTCAGGCAGCCCTGCTCTGTCCTACAAAGCCCCATCCTCAGTGCCTTCTGTCCTGCCCAATGCAGAGCAGCCCTGGGTAGGGTTTCCAGAGCTGTAATTTCTTTCTTTTTGCTTTTGGTTTTTCTAAACATTGAAGGTGTCTTGAGGCTCCCACCTGTTGCTGTCTGACGCTGAGCCTGGTCTCTACGTCTTGCTGGTCTGAGTTCCATCCCACGCGTTTTGCGGCTTTGCCTTCTGATGCCCTCCCTTTGCGGTCGCTGGGCACTGTCCAGCTCATCTGGTGTCAGGGTGGTGGAGACTCATGTGCGTGGCCCTGTGGTGCATTCGACTCACTGTTCCCAGTTGTTTCAAGTGCTGCTAATTGTTCCCATGTCAGTCTTGCTGAGACCACGCCTTAGCTGTGCCTGCCAGAGCAAACTCATTAGACTCTGGGACAGAGTAGAACGGCCCCTGTGGGTCCCGAGTCTGAATCTTTACGGGAGTAGAAAGCCTCCTCTTTCCCTCTTGGAATAGCTAGTGGGTTCAAACTACTGACCCTGTGGCCAGATGCTCAGCTCTTAACCCACTCCTCCACCAGAGGCTGTCAATGGACGGGAACAAATAGATTCACTTTGGCCCTTGGAAGTCCTGGTGGGCTGAAGGCCCTGGTCCTGCTCCTTAGCCTGCAGCCCCACCAGGACCCCTTTCAGGTCCCTATCTGACAACAGTGGGAGGGGCTACACCCGTGCCCCCTTCCTGGAGGGGGGCACTTACTGTGGGATCTGGGGAGAGGGTGTCTCATCCAGCTTTCTCCTCCCCAGGCCAGGATGCTGGGCACACGGAACTGGCGGGCCATGCAGGACATGCGCAGGTACCGGCACCACTACCCGGTAAGCACTGCCCACTGCCCCACCCAAGGTCCAGGCAGGGACTGCTCTCACACAGTGCCCCGGGCTCCACTTTGGCCCTGTCCCCATGGCAGTGGCCAGAGCTCAGCCCTCACCTGCAGACACTGGCCTGGCTTCATGGCTGTCCTCATCTAGCCTGGTGCCAGGCCCTCTAGATCCCAGGCACGGCGGACTTCCCAACCACCACATCAAGCCTGGCCCTGCTGGTGACCTGTCCAGCTGTCAGGGTGACTGGCCCCAGGGAGGCTCTGGTGAGGCCGAGGGCGCCCACCCATTCCCACCCGCCCATCTCCGCCTCTGCAGGACCTGGTAGAACGAGACTGCAACGGGGACATGCCCAACCTGAGCTTCTACCGAAATGAGACCCGCTTCCTGCCAAACGGTACGTGCCCACCTCCGCTGCCAGCCACTCTGCCGCCGGGGGGTGGTGTCTCTGACATGGCGCCACAGCACCTGGGACTCCCAGCCCAGCAGCCAGTCTAGGTTTGATGAAATTAGTGACCAGCATCCCGTCTGTCCACGTGGCTCTCTGCTCCCATGAAGAGTCCAACCCTGCCCTGTAGGATGGCCGAGTCGGCATCAATTCGAGGGCAGGGAGTGAGTGACCGCCGGCCTGGCCCTGCGCCTTCCTCACGGCGGGGTCTGAGCCCAGGTTGCCGTCGGTGAGTCAGTGCAAGCAACTCCTGGAGGCTCTTCCTCCTCCAGGGACCGAGGGTGATGTTCTGGAACTGGCCTCTCCAGGGAACACGCAGGGGTGAGACGACATCTCACCCTCCGTGTGCACAGGGGAGACGGACAATTGCCACAGCGCAGTGAGGTGCACCTTCGTCTTCAAAGGGCACTCTTTGCCCTTTAACTCTCTACATTGGAGGTCTTGTGTGGCACGTGTCGGGGTGGCTGCTGCTGTTGTGACATGGACGGTCCATCCAAGGACAAGGGGCCCCTAATGAGCTCCATCCTCCGTGTACCACGGTGTGTAGAGCTGCTTTGCCGGGCCTAGGCGCCGACTCTTCTCATCTTTATGTCTCCCACAGAGCCGCTGGTGGGTTTGAACTGCCAGCTTGTGGTTAGCTGCCCAGCATGTACCTCACAGTGCCACCAGGGCTTCTTAGACTGGGGGGAGCATCCAGGTGCCCTCTGGGCCTAGTGGTCCTGGCTGTCAGAATAGAGTGGGCCCCACAGGGTCCTCCGTGGCTCTGACCTTCGCAAACCAGTCACGAGGCCTCTCAGGCAG